TGACTCTTCCGGGTGCCGCGCTGACCTGTGTCCGTTGACCCGAAAGTTCACGGAGATTTTCGGAGATGGCCGAGTTAGTCGACCGTGACTAATATGGAGATTTAGGCTGTATTTCGAACACCCCGGGGGCAATTCATCATCAGGGATGATGAATTAATGGTGATTCTAGTCCTGTTGAGCTTCTTCTGCATCATCGTCTGGAGGTTGCTCTGGAGGTGGTGGATCTGATGGCAGTAGGCAAAGCTTGGTGATTGGTCTGTCAAGCTCTGTGTAGATTGTTCTGATGTTTTCTGTGATTGGTGATCCATCTGCCTACCTTGGTACCTCTGCTTTTGCGGTTCTTATAGTTGCGACTCTCGTTAGCCCATCTACTCCTGGGCGTGTCGCAATGACTCGTCCGATTGGCCATTGTGCTGGTGGATAATTTTCGTCGATCATCAGCACCATGTCGCCAACCTTGATGTTCTCTTCTCGATGCGTTCACTTGTAGATTGCCTGATATCGTTGAAGACACTCTTTGGCCCACCTGGACCAGAATTGTTGAGTTAGCTGCGTTACCAGGTTCCATCTCTGTAGTTTGCTGGGGTTCTTGTCGATGATTGATGGGTCTGGAATCAGTTGAAGAGGCTCACCTATCAGGAAGTGTCCTGGGGTGAGTACGTGGAGATCGTCTGGGTCATCTGATATGGGGCAGATTGGCCTGGAATTTAGGCAGCCCTCTATCTGGATCACGACACTGTTGAGTTCCTCAAATGTGAGTGTTGTTGTCCCCAAGACTCCTCTAAGGTGATATTTTGTTGATTTCACGGCTGCTTCCCACTTGCCATCAAAATGGGGTGCTCGTGGTGGTGAAAAGCTCCATTGAGTCCCATTGGTGGTGAGAGCAGCCTGAACCTGCTGATTTTTTCTGGATGTTCGGTGATAGATTTTCTCTAGGACCTCTGCTGCGCCCACGAAGGTAGTGGCATTATCACTGTACATAACAGCTGGAATACCGCGCCTTCCGGTGAATCTCTTGTAGGCTCCGATGAAGATGTCCGTTGTCTGTCTGGTGACTAGCTCTAGGTGAACTGCTAATGTTGTGAAGCACACAAAAACTGCAATGTGCAATGACCTTGGTTGTGCATTCGTTGGTCTCCATTTGAGGATGGCGAATGGTCCTGCATAGTCCACCCCTGTGTGGAGAAATGCTCTTGCTGGTGAGATTTTCGTTGCTGGTTGTTGACCCATCTGTTGCTGGGCCTGTCTTCCTCGGTGTCTGGTGCAGATGGCACAGCGTGGAATATATGCTCTAACTGTGCCTCTGCCGCCGATTGTCCAGAACCTATGACGTGTGTAGGCCAAGGTGAGTTGAGTTCCTCCGTGTAGTGTGTTGCGGTGAGCTTCTTCGATGACTAGTGTGGTGAGGCGTGACTGGCGAGGCAAGATTATTGGGTGAATTTCGTCTGGATTCAACTGCGAGTTCTTGAGGCGTCCCCCAAGTCTCATGATCCTTTCGCTGTCTAGTGTGGGTGTCAGCTTGGCTAGTTGATGATTTCGTGGTAGTTGGTGATTTCTCTGCAGTACTCGAATGGCTGGCCCAAAGTATTGATGTTGGGTTATCTTTACCCAAAATAAACTCGCGTCGTTGAGTTCTCTTGTTGTCAAGACAGGTCCCGAGGGCGTTGGCTGCCTCCTGAATCTGTCGATAGCTCTGTTGACCATAGCTGTTACGGCTAGCAGTTTAGCCATCGTCTGATATCTGTTGAGTAGCTCTGCAATTTCGTTGATTTTAATTGCAACTGGATGTGCTGGTGCTGGTTTTGCTTCTCTGGCCACTTCTGGGATGTCCATTGCTGGAGCGTCGATTGATGATTGTGGCCATTCTTCAGGATCCTGATTGATCCACTCAGGTCCTGACCACCACAGTTGATGATCTTCTAGCTGGCTCGGTGATATGCCTCTGGAGGCACAATCAGCTGGATTCTCCTTTCCACTGACATGTCTCCAGGTAGCATTCGGGAGAGTTTCCTGGATCTTGACGACCCTGTTGTGGACGAAGTCCTTCTATCTTGATGCGTGGCTCCTGATCCAAGCTAGTGCTACTGAAGAATCAGACCAGAGATAGGTGTCTACTTAGTCGAGTTGGAGCATTTTCTTCGTTGATGCCACTAGCTGAGTCAGTAGAAGAGTTGCTGTAAGCTCTAGACGAAGGATGGTGATGCGCTTGAGTGGTGCTACCTTAGTCTTCGCGCATGCCAGTACTGTTGATGTCGAGTCGTTGATGGTTTTGGTGCGAATATACACCACTGCACTCATGACTACCGTTGAAGCGTCTGCAAATCCATGAATTTGGATGTTGAGTGTCTCTGTTGAAATTCTCAGCCATCTAGGTACAGTTACTCTGTCTAGGTCGTTGAGATTCTCTCGGAATGTCTTCCAGCGTTGAACATACTCATCTGGAAGAGGATCATCCCATTTTAGTTTCAATCTCCAAAGATCTTGTAGGAGAATCTTTCCCTGGACGACAACTGGTGCGATAAATCCCAGTGGATCAAAAATCTGGGCTATTTCTGAAAAGACCACTCTCTTGGTGATTGTCGTCGTATTGAAATCCTTTGATTTGTACCGGAATGTGTCGGTGGATTGATGCCAACACAATCCAAGTACCTTGGTGACTGACTCCTCGAACTGGATAATTTCTTCGTCAGTTGATAGGCCCAACTCATGCAGAGCTTCTGGACAATTCCTGCTCCACTTCTGTAGAGAGAAGCCTCCTGCATGGCAAAGCCCTTGTAGTTGCGTTGCGATCTCCTTGAGACCGTCTTCTGTTTCTGCACCGCCGTAAATGTCGTCAACGTAACGACCTCTGGTGAGTGTCTCTACTGCTGCTTGGAAGCGGTGCCCTTCATCTTCTGCTAGTTGTTGAAGAACACGTAACGACAACTATGGAGAACAATTTAGTCCATAGGTGATTGTCGTTAACTGGTAGGTGACTGGTTGTTGATTCTCGTCGATCCACAGGATTCTCTGAAGATTCCAGTCATCTTGGTGAACTCGTATCTGGCGTAACATCTTGACAATATCCGTGCCAAACACGAGACTGTGCCTCCTTATCCAAGTCAGGATAACCATGGCATCGTTCTGTAACTTTTCACCAGAATACAGTATATCGTTATTTGACATACCTGATGAACTGTGGCTGGAGCCATTGAATACGACTCTCAGCTTCGTTGTGATGGCCTCCTCTCTCAGTACCCCGTGATGTGGTAGATAGTCAGCTGGCACGGGTTCTGGAATCTCTGGTGCTATTCTCATGTGCCCCAGTGCTGCGTACTCGTTGATGAACTCTCTGTACAANTTGCTGTAAGCTCTAGACGAAGGATGGTGATGCGCTTGAGTGGTGCTACCTTAGTCTTCGCGCATGCCAGTACTGTTGATGTCGAGTCGTTGATGGTTTTGGTGCGAATATACACCACTGCACTCATGACTACCGTTGAAGCGTCTGCAAATCCATGAATTTGGATGTTGAGTGTCTCTGTTGAAATTCTCAGCCATCTAGGTACAGTTACTCTGTCTAGGTCGTTGAGATTCTCTCGGAATGTCTTCCAGCGTTGAACATACTCATCTTGAAGAGGATCATCCCATTTTAGTTTCAATCTCCAAAGATCTTGTAGGAGAATCTTTCCCTGGACGACAACTGGTGCGATAAATCCCAGTGGATCAAAAATCTGGGCTATTTCTGAAAAGACCACTCTCTTGGTGATTGTCGTCGTATTGAAATCCTTTGATTTGTACCGGAATGTGTCGGTGGATTGATGCCAACACAATCCAAGTACCTTGGTGACTGACTCCTCGAACTGGATAATTTCTTCGTCAGTTGATAGGCCCAACTCATGCAGAGCTTCTGGACAATTCCTGCTCCACTTCTGTAGAGAGAAGCCTCCTGCATGGCAAAGCCCTTGTAGTTGCGTTGCGATCTCCTTGAGACCGTCTTCTGTTTCTGCACCGCCGTAAATGTCGTCAACGTAACGACCTCTGGTGAGTGTCTCTACTGCTGCTTGGAAGCGGTGCCCTTCATCTTCTGCTAGTTGTTGAAGAACACGTAACGACAACTATGGAGAACAATTTAGTCCATAGGTGATTGTCGTTAACTGGTAGGTGACTGGTTGTTGATTCTCGTCGATCCACAGGATTCTCTGAAGATTCCAGTCATCTTGGTGAACTCGTATCTGGCGTAACATCTTGACAATATCCGTGCCAAACACGAGACTGTGCCTCCTTATCCAAGTCAGGATAACCATGGCATCGTTCTGTAACTTTTCACCAGAATACAGTATATCGTTATTTGACATACCTGATGAACTGTGGCTGGAGCCATTGAATACGACTCTCAGCTTCGTTGTGATGGCCTCCTCTCTCAGTACCCCGTGATGTGGTAGATAGTCAGCTGGCACGGGTTCTGGAATCTCTGGTGCTATTCTCATGTGCCCCAGTGCTGCGTACTCGTTGATGAACTCTCTGTACAACTGGGAGTATGCTTGATCTGTGTTGAGTCGACTCACGATCGATTTGAGTTGACGTGCTGCTCTGAATTTCAATTCTCCGAGCGCTGCTGCTGAAGTTTTGAGGGGCAGTCTCACGATGTATCGCCCGGTATTGTCTCTGCTATGAGTTGCTCTAAAGTGCATCTCGCACTCATCTGGTGAAAGCTCTGATGTTGATGATCTCTCGTTTGGCAGTTCTTCCTGGACCCAAAATTTCTGGAGAAGCTCTAGAAGTTGTTCATTCGAAGATTCTCGTACAGCTGATAGAGATACCTTTATTGAACAATTTGTGCATTCGATTGTTCCGGATAATATCCAACCGAATACTGTGCGTTGGCCAACTACTCTCGATTGCTCTGACTTGACAACGTCATCCATGATGATCCGCCCATAGTTGTCAGCCCCTAGTATGATGTCGATTGGTCCAGGCCTGAGATAATGGGGATCGGCTAGCTGAAGATTCTGAAGTGAGCAGATCCTCGCTGATGAGCATGAAAATGACGGAATTATTGCGGTGAGCTTCTTTAGAATGTGGGCGTTGAGTTGCAGTTGATGAGTCCCACTGTTTGATTGTAGAGTGACTGAAACTATTCCTCTGGTGTATCCTGAATTAATTCCACCAATTCCCACTAGCTCCACTGTTGATGCTCTTCTCTGTAAATGCAGTTGATTAACTAATTGTTCGGAGATAAACGATACCTCTGAACCCTAGTCGATGAGTGCTCTGGCCTTTGTCGTGAATCCTCTCGGTGATATTAGTTTTACTCGTGCTGTTGCCAACAGCACTGACTGTTGATCTGCTCCTTCTTGGTGAGTTTCGTGGTTGATGTTCTCTGCTTTCTCATTGATCATTTTGTTGTTGAAGTTCACTGCTACTGGTGGTGATGTACGGGATTCTAATGTTGAGGAATGATCAATGACATGGTGAGTGTGCTATTGCGATTGAATTCATTCACTCACTGTTCCCGTGATCCTCTTACCGCCTGGATGTTCCGGCAGACTGGATGGGTTCAGCTGAAGTGCGTCGGGCTGAAGGCGGGCTCATCGTCCATGAACTCCCTCCATGAATGAGAGTGTGGTGAAATCTGCTACATTTGTGGCACTTCTTGTCCGATGTGCACTTGGCCTTCGTGTGTGGCCCCAAGCAGTTGAAGCACAGCCCCTTGTTGATAACGATGTTGTTTCTCTTCGCTCAATGAACTTCTGGCAGGATGCGATAAAATGCTTGTCCTGACAGTAAGTACAGTAGTTCCTTGGAAGTTGTCTTTCTGGCTCCTTAATTTCCTGCTGGTGAGTTGCTGCTGTATAGGTGCTCCTTTTCTTTGTTGGAGCTGACTTCTTCGTGGCTGAGCAATGAGCATCAGGGCTTGTCGTCTTGTCCTGGTGGCTCGTTCATGGATCATTTCGTTGACATACTCGTGATCAGGGGGAAGAAACTCTGCTAGATTGGCATAAATCTGAAAATACTCGCTCCATTCTGCCTCGATTATCCTCTTGTACCCGTCTAATTCTTCTAGTGTGAGGTCCTCTTCGGTTTCAGTGTCCTGCGGGAGGTCATGATATATCTCCATCAGAGTCTCTACTTTGAACGTTAATAGTCTTAATTGACCTTCCTGTTGCATGGTGAGTACTGTTCTTGAAGCTGCAGGCGTTGATTTTCATTGAGCGGGCTCCTTTGATCCTGACGCTCCACTTGGGCTGTTGGTTTCCTCAGGAGTGGTGATTGGCTTCGTTGTAACTGTCTCATTTTTTGTTGGCAGTTCCTCTTCTTGTGAGACTTGCTCGCTTTCCTCACTTTCGCCCACTGGTTGTTGAGTTTCTTCGTTGGGTTCGTCCACCTTAGTGTCGTCTGCCATGGTGATTGTCTGTGCTAAATTGACGGTTTAGGTGAGTTATCGGCTGTTGAATTGGGTGAGTTACCGACCGCTGAGAGTTGGGTGAGTTACCGACCGCCGAGTTGGGTGAGTTACCGACCGCCGAGTTAGGTGAGTTACCGACCGCCGAGTTAGGTGAGTCGCCTGTTGCATGGCGCAAGTGGCCATGCGTTGGTGGGCTTCGGCGTCACTCGTCACTCCCGAACCTTCCCGAATTCCGACACTGACACTCTCACTTTGTCCTTTGTTACCCCGACATCCATGCGGGTGTAAACAAAGCGAATGTTCTGGAACTTTCCGTTGACTTGCCCGTGCGAACCCCGAATGTGGTTTCGACACGAGGCGTCCCTTAAATTTTCCACAGCACTTTACACACGTTTTCACCCACAATCCGGCTCGAAGGACCACTGTTTGGTGAATGTCTAGGATTAGGGTGGATGTGGGATGAAAATGTGGAGGGAAATGTTGGGAAAATTATGGTAGGCGTTTTATAAAAAATCGCAATATATTTTCGTGGGATCGAACCACTTGTCACTTAATTGCTTTACACTCTTTGGTATATTTACTGTTGAATGTCTAATTTTCACTGATAATTGTCTTTTCACTTTTATCTCGTTGAGTCACTGAAACTATACTGAACTTAATCAATAAGTTGATGTACTGAACAAAAATATTAAATTTAGAATACTGATTGACTGAATACGCTAGCTTATTATCGTAACGATACTTTTACACTACTGACTACTGACTCTTCCGGGTGCCGCGCTGACCTGTGTCCGTTGACCCGAAAGTTCACGGAGATTTTCGGAGATGGCCGAGTTAGTCGACCGTGACTAATATGGAGATTTAGGCTGTATTTCGAACAAGGTCCTTAGAGAAATGTCGCTATCTCCCTCAGATATCGCCACATCCGTAAAAAACTACCCCCTGAATAAAATGAACTTGAACTTTTTTACCTTTTCACTGCTGATTTCAATTGTTAACTTCTAACTTTCAAATAAACTCACCCATTCACTCCACCGCGAACTCAACTGGGAATTCGAACTCAACTGGGAATTCGAACTCGCTGGGACGTCGCGGCTAGCGGTTTTGTCGATTAACACAGAACGGATTTCTCGCTAAGCTAATGTCTACGCCAATTTTCAAGTCCGCCTGAATCAGTGAAGAGAGAAGGAGAGATTCACCCCTCCTTCCGCTCGTTAATCTATAACATAAGGAAGTAGGGTGTTATATCTCAAAGTCTCCACATTACCATCAGAAAATCAATCATTAAATAAAATACCTCAACACGATACATTTACCAGACACCTTTGGTCCAACTCGGGTAATCTGTGAGTAATAAACTGATAAGAGCTTCAATGGAGAGACACCGGAAGAGGCGAGCTGCACCCTGATTGGGCTTATTGAGAGGAAAGCGGTTCTTATTATCGACTGAATAGGAATTGAAGAGAAAGAAATTTCGACGTTTCGAATTCGGAAGAACAGGAGATATGAGGAAAGAAACAGTCTTGCTGCCACAAACAAATAGAAAACCTGAACGTGTCAGTTTATTCTCGTATTCTTGAGCACACGAATTG